TCTACAGAACTCCAAGTGATAGTCTAAAAATTAACCTAAAGACAACAAATTCTAGAAGAACTTTAGCCTTCATAGGTGTGTGAGCCTACTTTTTAAACCTAACAACAATCAGAAGGAAAAGATGTCACCACTGTGAGATAGAAAGTAAAACAGGTGACTTCTCACAAGACACCTTAAAGTCTAGGCTTGGTGGTGTCTGTAAATGAATATCACAGTTGTTTTGGTGAAAGGAAAAGCCCATTTTGTCTGCCAGGGTTAGCAGCATACCTAATTATAGCTGCATCCACTTCTGTGGCCATACCAGATAAGGTCTCTTACGCAGGGAGATTATCTCCAAGTGGAACAGTTTTGAGCCAACTTAAATAAAACAAAAGTAACTTACCTCATTCTTCAGTCATCACTAATTAAAGATACCCTTCTGCAAGAGGCAGATAGGGCCTTTACTTTCTTTTAAAGTTACAAACAAGCCCTGGAATACAGATTGCACAGAGAACCCATTCTATTTGTGGCTGTGCTTCATGAATACAACCTCACAGGCATTTCAGGACATCATTGCTAAAATTGTCAAAGCTTCCATATCAGTCAACAGTTAGCAGAAGTTCACAGTTAACAGAAGATGCTCGGCCATCTTCCTCTTCCTCCTCTCTTCTGAACCCTTGATGCCAACTGAAAGGGAATAGCATGCATGGGCCACTCTTCCAACTTCACATCAGAAGTGACTATTTTACTAAACACCTAACAGCTGTAGCTCATACAACCAGCCTTCTTCCAGGGCCTCACCTCACCCTGGGCATTGAGTATGTGTACGTTCCCCAACTTAGTCCGCATGGATACCTGTGCTAGGTATAGTTATTTTTATAGTCTCATTTTACAAATAAACTGATTAGGTCACTTGTCTCAGAGTGTATGTGCTTGGCACCATGTTAGAAGTCTATCCAGCTGTTCTGCACTGATTACAATTGTATTTGTGTGTGTGTGTGTGTGTGTGTTGGTCCTGGGGATTGAACTCAGGCCCTTAGTGTTATCCCTGAGCTTTTATGCTCAAGGCTAGCACTCTATTACTTGAGAGCCATAGCTACCTTTGTAGTTAATTGGAGATAAGAGTCTCGTGGACTTTTCTGCTGAAGCTGACTTCAAACTGTGATCCTCAGACCTCAGCCTCCTGAGTCACTAGGATTACAGGTGTGAGCCATTGGCACCTGCTTCTATACTACTTACTTCAGTGGAAAGGTCAATCCAGTATTGAGCTTAACTGCAAAGCATGTTGTTTCTTCCACAGCTGCTGGTTAAAATGAGGCTGATAACAGGAAGGCTCTGGGAGGCCATGGCAGTTCAACATTATATGCCACATCCTCCAGTGACTCAGGTTATAAAAATATACAGTTCTTCAGGCAGAGGACACCGTGATAAAACTAGAGGTCATAGATCTCCAAAGAACAGCAATGTGAAACACAAATGGCTAATGAGTTTACCCAAACCCTGGGAGGACATGAAGATTTGGGGAGAGAGGCGAAAAGTACTGGGCTGCTGTTAGTGCTGCAGGGGTGTAATGTGTTTTCTGTTCGTGAGTTCTTGCAATCGCAAGGCAGTAGCTGGCCAGTCTTTAGTTCATGGTTGTAGGTAGAAGCAAATGGTTCCCTTATAAGCTGTGATTTCAGTCATCTGATACTCCAGAAATTGTTCTCAGAAATACAGGATGATAGAAGAAGAATAAATTTCCACTCAAGGCAAAGCCTAACCGTGCACACAAACATACACACACACATCAATGGAATCACCAATACTTTTGATGAATGATTAGTGGGGTTTTTCCAAGAACCTTGCAAAATAACACTGGAAGGTGTTTTTGTACAGCCTTAAGATTCATGAGAACTATTAACTTTCATATGCTATCATTTTGCCACAATAATTAATGGAAGGGTGGAAAGGGGTTTTCCTTAGGGGATTTCTAAAATAGGGGCCTGATCACGTTATCCATCTCTAAGTTTACAGTGTCAAACATAAGTAACACAATAGACAAGTAGTGATCTTGTATTTATACCATGAGATCTTTATTTTTTTGGATTTAGGAGAACCTACATGGAGAAGAGAAATATTGGTTCATTCAATTTAATCATTCTCTGAATTTACCTGGTATTGGTTATATTTATCCAGAGAAATATAGTTTAAAATAACATCTTATACAATTTTAATAAGGATTCATTAGTACAAAGTGAAATGGCTTGCTTGCAAAAATAATGATGTCAGGACTGTGTCTCTTTAGGAATATCTGGCCTATTGCTAATGCTCAAATTTTTATCTATCTATCTATCTACCTATCTATCTCTGTGATTGTATCATTAGTGTTCTTTTCATTTAACCATTTTGACTATAATAATGATGGTAATAGTGATGGTGGTGGCTGTGCTATGTTCTTAGGAAGCAGTATTCATCAGTTTTCCAACACTGCTACCAGATAGTTAAGATTCTTCACAGGTGTGTGATAAATGAGGATTAGTGATTCACTGTAACATGATCAGACCACACCGCTAGAAAGAGGTATTTGAACTAAAGCATCTCTGCTTTGGGAGTCTGAATTCTTAATCACTGTTTGTAGATTGCCTGCTAAGAGCCAGTGTTGGTTTGAAATGATTCATTTGAATTTTTGCCAAAAGTTGAGAGAAAGAATCCTTTAGTTTATTTTAACATTATTTTGTGTGTGTGTGTGTGTGTGTGTGTGGTGAAGGGTCTGAGAGGTGTGCACTGAGAAGGAAGTAGTTCTGGATTGTTCTATACCCCAGCGGAGGTCATGTTTTCAGTGATACAGCTCTTCAAAAACTCACCATTGGTGATTCTGGAAATGACTCTATAATTTATCTGTGAGTTTTTTTGAGCTGCAGGGATACATTTTTCTATGGATACCTTGTTACACAACAGCCGTGAAGTTCCAAGAATAGATAATAAAAGACAATTTAATTTAACTTATAATTAAATGAAGTGATAAACTTGTAATTAAACTGGAGAAAAAATGTCCCATTCAGTAAGATGTAATTTGTAAAATTAAGTTTGATATTCAAGGAAATGCAGACTTAATGAGGGCAAAAGACTTTTTCTAATCAGAAGGAAGTATCTGATTTAAAATGGGTGAACATTTTAACATAGGCCCCTTGGACCTTTTTATTCTAATTTTTCTTTGAAGACTGGCCTCTTGGGTTCTTTGAACCTAAGGTAGAGGTGTGGTACAGAGGCCCGCTCAGACTCAGTGCCACCATTATTGGATTGATTGGATATATACTTAAATGACAGGAGGAAAGGTAAGGAAAGGAGACAAAGAGAAGTCTTTGGTGGGTGGATGGCTGGGCTGAATGCCAACAGGAGATGGCCAGGGGCTCCAGAGAAGATGTGTGCCCACGTGCTAGGTATGTAAGAAACAAGGGCAGGAGGGACAGGGAAAGTGAGCATATAACTTGAGGAAGATGTGCAGGTGTATGTGAGAAAAGACGAGAGTGCATGTGTACGTGTGCATCCCAGTACTATGGTATTGTGTATTCTGTAAGTTTGCACTTATTCAATCTACCAAGGACTGTCTTTGTGCATTATTTAATTTGCACAATAGTAGATAATGATAGTAGCCGGGATGAAAATAATGAAGGCAGTAAGAGAATACATGACAGAGGCATTGGTAAACCAGAAGGGAAATCTTTCAGAGGAAGTATGATTGAAATCAGCACACACTGCCTGAGGAAGAGTTCCCGACAAAACAGTGCAAGGATAGAGGCTAGAAGACCCAAGCGCAGGGGAAGGATAGAACCTAGTAAATGCTGTAGTAAAGGAAACAGAGATGTGATGAGAGAAAAGATGCTGCACGTCCACAAATGACCTGTAGAGTGATTCAAAGTGCAGAAGGAAGCAACTGTGAGGTTTTGAGGGAAAGAGTAACAGGGTCAGAGTGGATTTTATAAAGCTGCTTTGAAGGTGAGGTGTTGGAAGTCAAGGAGTGGCAGTGCTCATCAAAGCCAAACCTTTCCATCTGTGCCTGTGACCGGTGCTGCATAGACCAGCAAGTCAGACTGCCATTGCCATCTGCTACTTCACAGCTGGAGGGACACTCAGTGTGAGTGATATGGTTTGAAGACTTACGGATTTCTTAGAGCCATAGAAAACGAAAATGGGAGACTTACAGAGTATTGAAACAGTCTGGCTAAGAGGGTAAAAATCTATTGTACCATATATGACTGCCTTTACTTCATAGAAGAAGAAAAGGGTTTTTTTTTTTTGGTTGTTGTTGTTTTGTTTTGTTTTCCTGATCCTGGGCTTGAACTCAGTCCCTGAGCCTCTTTGTGCTCAAGGCTAGCACTCTACCACTTGAGCCACAGCACCACTTCTGGCTTTTTCTGAATAGTTTATTGGAGTTAAGATTCTCATGGACTTTTGAACTGTGACTCTCAGGTCTCAGCCCCCTGGGATTATAGGCATGAGCTACTGGTGCTACCCCTGCTAAGGTTTTTTTCTATTTTTTTAAATTAAAAATATATACAACTGCAAGGAAAACCCTAGTTTTATAGACAATGCTCTACTTTTCCTTTTCACGTTTGCATTTAGAACCTGAAAACCTGGTTTACAGATTGGGTGCAAATCAACATCATTCTTTGGGGACTCTTAACCCTGTCCCCGCCCTGCTCCCCGTCACTTCGCACCCCAGCTCCCGGATGAGGTGTATGGGTTCACTAGGGTCATGATTTGACTTCAGAGCAGAGGGCCTGGGTTTTGGTTTCCTGACTTCAGGTTAATTCTCGTCTACCACATCATCATGCCCCACGTGTCAGCTTATTTTTTTCTGTTCTGCAAGGGTCAAGACACCTGTTCTTGTCTGGAGTAGAGTTCATTGGCCAGGCTTACTTCCCTGCCAATGTTTCAGACGGCTAAAAAAATGACCGACCACTAAATAAGTCCTTAGAAAAATACCCCGTAGCTGGGAATCCCACAAAATGGAAGACTCTTCTTTTTAAAGTGTCTCTCACCTGATCTTCAGATAGGCTGCAACTCCAAATACCAACAACACCACAGCAATGACTGTCACCGTAATGGCGGCAATGCTTCCTGTGAAGGAGGAAGAGGCCGGAGAAGAAAATAAAGAAGTGAGTTTAGTTATTCTCAAGTGTTCAATCTCAACCTTTATTTATTTGTTTGTTTGTTTGTACTGGTTTGGGGACTTGAACTCAGGATCTGGGCACTGTCTGAGCTTTTGTGCTCAAGGCTAGTGCTCTATCACTTTGAGCCACAGCTCCACTTCCAGATTTTTTTGGTGGTTAATTGGAGATAGGAGCTTCCAGGACTTTCCTACCTGGAGTAGCTTTGAACCATGATCCTCAGATCTCAGTCTCCTGAGTAGTTAGGATTGCAAGTATGAGTCAATACCTACCAATCTGTCCTCTGAAAGAAGGCAAAGTTTTATTTTTTTTTTTTACTACAGATTATTGTGCATGGAAGTCAGAGCAAGCACAAAGCCCAGGATCTTAAAATAACAATCAAAATACTGTGCTACTGGAATATTTTTAATGCCAACCAAGGTTCAGTAATGGCCAATAAATCTTTCAGTATTCATCAAGACCTTTCAGCAAGCTTGGCATTCAGAGAACAATACACAGTAATATTTGATTATCTTTTTAAGAGTGACTTGCTGCAGTGTTGTACCTAGGGTAGTAGATTTTAAATCACTTGATGTTCCCTTTTCTTCTTTTACAGGCTCTGGCTCATTTTTATATCACTTCTGTAATATCTGGAGACAAAATATTTTATTCCAAGGGTTACAAAAAAGTAATAAAGTTTTTTTAATAAACCAAAACCACACAGCTGTGTCTGTAGTGTCCACTTTAAAAGGGTCACTTTGGTAGTTGTGCTAATTTAACAATCCTATTGTATCAAAGCATGTGTGAAAAATAAAATAAAAACATCTTTGGGAAGTATGTTCAGCTTTCATGTTTCAATACTAAATTTCTATATACAGAAAATAAGTCTGTTGTCAAAATAAGGTCACATGTAATAGGCAGCACTGCTTTTTGCTTGTTGAAATAATCAGCTATAAGTAAACCGAGTCTTTCTATTTTGTACTTTGAAATCTGGTAGGCAGCTACTAGCAATCTGTTAAAAACAAGTTGCCTGCTTCCATTGAATGAATATTATGACTGTATTTGTCTATCCTTCCTCTCTTCATTGAAAAAATGCTTCTTGAGGAGTTCATGCCCCAACTGGTTAAAATTTATAAAGAAGCTGGGCACTGGTGGCTCATGCCTGTAATCCTAGCTGCTCAAGAAGCTGAGATCTGAGGATCATGGTTTAAAGCCAGACTGCCTAGGAAAGTCCATGTGATTTTTACCTCCAATTAACCACCAGAAACCTGGAAGTGGAACTGTGACTCAAAGAGCAAAAGAGGGATAGTGCCCAGGACATGCGTTCAAGCCCTACAGCCCACAACAACAACAGCAACAACAACAACAAAAACAACACCTAAAAAAAAATGAGCCAAAGGAGATCTTTAGATTATTGCTAACATGAAGATGAAGACAGCTTGATGTCTCCATGGAGACTGACCATGTTTGACCACTTTCAGATCCTACACGTTTCTGACACTTGCTTTCTTTGCTCCCGGAATCCTTTTGAATCAGATTCTGTAATTATCAGTATAATTCCTTTTGGCTTTTGCCACATAAAGATAAAATTATGCCACTGATCATGCAAATGTGCAGATTGGGTTCAGCAGAAAAAGTCTAAGGTCAGATCCTCTAATGTAAACCCCCCACTTCTACTTTGAAAGGTGACTCTTAGCTTCTTGGCCTCCAAACTGTGCTGAAATTAGAACAATTCAAAGTTCACTAAGGTCTCATAACAGCCTCTTTTAAGAGCTTGTGAAAGGAAGACGATAACCGCAAGGTACAGTGTTGGGGGCATTTTAGGATTAAAAAAAGATACAGTCATTGCAATTAGGAGCTGTTTTTTTTTAAACTTTTAATTTAATTTCTACCTTTTTGAAAAGAAGGGGCAAGCTGATGATTTCCCTATAAGATTACCCCTGCCCCCCCCCGCCACCCCTCCCCCCGGCCCAAGGGATAGCTGAATATAGGAAATCAGAGGTTTGAACTTTTTCCAAGTTCCTTCCTTTACTCCAGCTCTGTGATTTGCTGAGGTTATTTATATACCACCTCTTTCTAAAATAAGCTGGCAATTTCTCCAACCCAAGCGCTATTCTTTGTGTTGTTGTTGTGGAGACAGCAAGTGATAGGAAGACTTGCTTCTCTTCTATTGGATGGTGGGGCTGTCCAGAGTCGGGATAGCCCCAATCTTCACATCTTCAAGACTATACTTCCAGGTCCACAGATGGCATCATCCAGGATATCCAGAGCTACCCAGAACTGGACATTCGAGTGACTTTCTACCTGATAGGCCCCAGAGAGTCTAGGTAAAGGCACACTTCGAAGAGTTGGTACTGTCAACCTGAGGGCAAGATATGTGACATAAAATAATTTGTGTTTATATATTTGGACTTCCTTTGTAATATTCTGTCACTCACTGCCTGTCCTCAGAGAGTGCTAAACACAGAAGTCATAGTCTTCTAGAAGTAGAGACCTTTCTCACCCCTGAGCCTAGGAAATCTTATTTCTTGAGTGTTCTCTAACCTCTTTAGCAGCTGCTGTCTCAGAAGGTTCTAGTCACCTCAGCTCTGGAAAGTTCCACACCCGAGGAATTCATGATCTGGTCATATGAGGAAGGTTGCTAAGCCAAGGATACCCCAACTTCTATGGTAACTGACAAGGCTTCATTTCTGGCTTATGAAAACAAATGTTATTTCCCCTTGGGTTTTGTTTAAACGAATCTGGAATTCCCCCTTTGTCGTTCTACTCTTTTTTTCTTTTCAAAGCAAGTAGAAAAATGAGGAAGGTGAGGGAGGTGCAGACACTAATGGGCTATGGACTGAACGTGTAGGATGGGAAAGTTGGCTGGCACTTCCTTTCTTCCTCATTGGAATTTGCAAGTTACAGACTGGGCATGACTCATGCTGTAATGCTCTGGGATAGGCAGAAATTAAGAGAGAATTGGAGGAAACTTATTTGTATATTTTATAAACCAAGATAAAAGAATATTCTACTGTGCTAGCACATTCCATTGTGCTAACATGTCTTGCCTAACCAACAGGCTGTTGAAGATCCAGAAATCAATGTGTGCTTAAGTTTTGTGCCTATACCAAGTCTGGGATTTCTCAAGGTGCCTTTTTATGCCACTTTCCTAATGGCCCCTATAAGAAGAGCAAGCAGGCTTAAGAGCAGTTATAGCTACTTATTTTTTGTCCCTGATTACTTAGGAGGAACACTGGGCCAAGAACTCTGCAGCTCTTATCTTTATAAGAGGTGTGGATTCATTTCCATTTTATAGATGAGAAACCCAGAAAGGTTAAGAAGTTGGTTACCAAGTTTTATACCTGGTAAATGATTGAGCTAGTATTGTTACCCAGGCCTATTTCACCTAAGTTTTTACAGCATTATTCATTCAAATGCTGGTTACTTCCTCTTGTAGGCAGTGGTAAAGATGGATTGAAGTTCAATATTCCAAGTTCACTCAGAGTAGAACTAATTACAAGCAGACACAAGACACTGAACGGAAAACTCAGAAGGCCCATGCCATTGATTGCTAACATTTGTGTAGCCCCAAATAACTAATCCTGCCACAAATCCTGTGCATTGTTATACTGTCACCTAGTATTAATGTGAGGTTGGCTCTAAACCCTTCCACAACCAAATCTAAGAATGTTCAAGTCCCTTATATAATATGTAGAGTATTTGCATACAACTGCCACACAACTTCCTGCCTACTTTTAATCATCCTTAGACTACGGACACGACCTAATGCAATGTAAATGCTCTGTAAACAGTTGTTGGAGTGTATTAAGGAGTCATAATAAAAAAATCTGTACATGTTCAGTAGGCACAGTTTTTTTGTTCAAATACATTCAATGGCAGATGAGTGGATGTGGAAGGAAGTACACACACACACACACACACACACACACACACACATACACATACACACCCTTCCCCATATATAATAATCCATGCCATGTGCTGCTATTTGCTATGTGGTGGTGGTGTTAGTAGTAGGTGTAGAATTGTGTGATGAGGAGGAAACAAATGAATAAAGAAAACCTCAATTCTCTCTGAATGGATACTAAGGGGATGCTAATTTCACTAATATTGAGGGTCATTTTGATGTCTGGCCCTGCATTCTGCTTGGATTTCACTCCTTGTCTTCCTTATTCTCTCTACTCCATGCCATGGGAAGGAAATTTTGTCTCCTCTTTCTTATCCCACATCAATTCAACAATCTAATCCCACATTATCTAACCAATCAAGCTCTTATGAATGAGCTCCATGATTAAGTTAGGGCACTGTACAGAGAAAAACAGTCCACCCAATTTCATAAACAGAAGAGTGTATGATCAGGTGGACACACAAGCAGGAAATAGGCAGACTGGGTATTTCTATCTATGACTGAAGGCGGTGAGTCTATAAAGCTACAGCCATCTTTGGAAGAGGTGGGAATAAAGCTATGGTCTGAAGGATGGGCAGGACTTGGATGGGGGCAGGCGCTTATTGGGAGGAGAGCAGATACTTCACATGTCTGGGCTTGAAGGGTCAGCAGTGGGCTTGGAGACAGGCGCTGCAGCTGGAGCTCTGATTTAAACTGTGGGCTGCTAACCATATCGAGGGCTACTGAGAGGGGTGGGTGAATGTAGAAGAGCTGTTGAGAGAGTTTGTGTAATAAGACATGAAAATACCCAAAGGCTGAGTGGCTGACTTTCCTAAGATCATATGATTTGTAGAAGTGACAAACACGTGATCACGGTGTGCAAAAGAAGGGAAAATGGAACTGAATAGAAGGCGTGACAATGGCTGTAGGATGTCTCAGGGCCAAGTCATGGAGATTACTGAAAGCCAGACTGGTATTTGAGCGTGACAAGGTAGAGACAGGGTCTCTGAAAGACTTCCGGGATGAAGGACACAGCATTTTCTACGAGAACCTCGTCAAACCCCTCTTTCATTGAGAAATCA